ACTGTATTCAACTGTTATTGAATTCATAACAATGAATATTCATTCTTGATTGTAAGCTTGTTAAGTGCTTGATAATTAATACATATTTGTCACTTCTCATCTGTCTTTTTCATGAATAAGACTGGAAAGTCCCACGCACTTGATAAGAATTATATGAGATCACATTCTAGAAGATCTGTGATCTGACACTTCTGTTCTTTGAGATGCATTTGTGACAGAGAATACACATTCTGATTGACTGGTTTTGTGTCCCCTGTGTCAATCTCATGTATGAATTCTCATTTCAGCAGCAATTCTGATGAAAGATCTCTTTGAAAGATCTTCTTCAGAAGCTTCATTATATACTTATTCTTCTGTATATTCTTTATCTTGATTTCCTCTGCTTCTGAATCTCATATGATATACAGAATGCTTTCAGATGAGGTCTTGTGAATCATTCTCTTTACTTATTAATGTGTAAGCAGATTTAACTCTTCTATATCAGAGATGTGAAATGTTCTTCTTATATCAGTTGATAGAATTATATGAATCATTTTCTTTCTATCAGTCAACTGTATATAACATGTACATCATTGAATCTGTGAATTGAACCTTTGAAATCAATTGAGTTTGAGAATAAGATTATATTTCATATTCTGCAGCTCTCACACTCAAATATAGTAAGATCATTTTTCAAAGTGCAAGAAAACTCTTACTCTTGCAGATGATATTAAATATCAGTTATCAGATAATCTTATACATCAGAGATTCTTCACTCAGTGAATCTCTTTCAGTCTTCAGATTATATAATTATTAATATATTACATAGAAGCTTCTGTATCTACTAACACTTTTACAGTCATCTCTTGATTCTTACTCAAGTGTCTCTTATACATTAACATTTCAGGTTTCAAGGTATTGAGATAAATATCTGCTTTATCATCCTCATCTGCATCTTATTCAGAAGCCTGCTTCTTCTTAATATTTATAGAATTCAGAAAATTATCTAATACAGACATCTCTTTCACTTTAAAGACTTTTTATAGAATATTAGTGAGTGTCTTCAAGCTCACTAATTCTGCTAGTTTTTTAACTCTCTTGCTTCTCTTGACTATGCATACTGAGTGTAATCTTTTATATCATGATTTTGACATCTGCAGTTGAAGCAAGCTTGATACTTGTGATATTAAGATTTTCACTCAGAGAATTTCTTTTTCAGAGAATTCAGTGCTTTAGTAATAGTATTCAGATCTAGATTCATTATATTCAGATGTGTAACTTATATTATAGAAGTCTGATTATCTGTTCTTCACTGAGATATACTTGATTACAGTATTTTCTGTCATAATTGACTTACTTATTTCTGTATAATAAGAATATTGTATACTTCTTTCATTATATCTGATTACAAGATTAAGCATTTTCATTTCACTCTCAACTCAGATGTAAGATCATGAATGAAGATCTATAATCAGAAAGATGTTAAAAGCTCTTCATTCAATACAAGATAGTATAAGCTGAAGTGTGTGAAGTATAATGTAAGATTACTCACTTATCTACACTCAGTGAAGTATTTATAATATTTATCTTATATATTCACTTTCTCAAAGTTGTGCAAGATTCATTTGAAAAACTTATTTCATATTTATAGAAATGAATATCACTTCAAGTCTGTGAGATTCATCTTTTTATCAGTCATTCATAATAACTTTGCTTTTTCATGTAGAAACACAGCAGATCTTAAGACTTGTTAAAATTCTGTTAACTATCTGTCTGTGAGTTCACATTCAATCTGATAATATAATCAATTATATCTGACTTAGTCAGCTGATTGCAGCATTATTTTTTCAGTCATCATTGAAGCTTAATAACCTTAGCAGATCTCTCAGCTTGATATACTTCATACTTAAATTCTCATTCTATGCAGTGATCTCTGATGATGTGTACACTTCTGAAGAGATTATGAATAATTATAATGAAATCTTCAGATTCAGTGTAATTATCTATCTGTATAAATATTCAATCTCTCACTGCAGGTCTAAGACCTGATTTTCTCTATTCTTATTAATAATGATGATTATATCAGTGAAGCTCTTCATAGTAAATACTTGATCTGCAGTGAATGTTAATTATTGTTTAACTTTCATCTCAGTCTGTCACTGTGTACACAAGGTCTTGATCTCATTTAGAATTTCTATATATATATAAAGCTTTGATTCTGATTCAGTGATTTCAGCTGCTTTTCTTACTACTTTAAGTAAATTCTCTGAGAGATTCTGTATATCTTCTGATTCAGATAGCAGAGAAGAATGTTATTTATATTAATTAGAGAAGATATTCATTTCAGTGATTTCTTATTAATTGTATAATGTCTATTATTATATCACTGTATCATTATAAAATTTCTGTTATTATTGTATGACTCTGATAATAGTCACTCTTCTCTTTTATTCTTCTTTTGAGTAGAGAGTGAACTTCTTTGAATCTTATTCACTGCTCTCATTCTTTTTCTCACATCTCATCTATTCATATATTATACATGACATTTGTCTGAGTGTGAAGTTTTCTCTCTACAAGTAAAGCAGTATTAATTGAATACTCTTTCACTTACTGCTCTTTATATGCTATCTTTTGAGACATTCTAGAATCACACTGATATAATAACTATGAATCACTTTATAAACAGAATTATCATGCTCTGAAGAAGTCTGTGCTTCTCACCAGTTTTTAGACATACTATCAGATATGATTCAAAGATTGCTTGAGTCAGTATATAATTACAGGCATACATCAGCTTCTTATATATCATACATTAAATTAATTAGTGGCTGCTATGGCCTCTTTACACTCATAAGCAAGTTCGGAAGCGGCCGCATTATTATCCGACGGTTGTACGTTCTTCCGAATCACACATGCAAAGTGACTATATATCAGATCTCAAAATAAAATCATGACTTGAAAAAAATAAGAAAGTGATCTCATTTGATTTCATTTCATTTCATTCTTGATATGAAGTTACTATTTTTAGACATTTTAAGGTTTTTTTTAGACTATTTTTAATTTTTTAAAAAGTAACACTTTTTGATAACACTTAAATGAGATTTAAAGTTATTTAAAGTAATAAAAAATAATTTAAATTAAGAAGTGAAAATCATAATCTCATTTAAAAAATGTAATAAGAGTAGATAGTAAGTCTCACTGAAACAGTATAAGACTACTATTTAATATTAGAACTATGTAATGAGATCTGTTGAATTGATAATGAAACTATCAAAAATTCTGATTCTGATTTCAGACACGGTTATACAGTCAGTCTAATATACATCTGTAATCTTATATTAACTTGAGAAACTTTTAAATCATAATTAAATGAAATTACTTTGTTAATTTTTTAATTATAGTTTTGTTTTAAAATTTAATTAATATTCACTTTTTATATTTTTTTAATAACTAGTCTCAGTGAAATTCATGCTAAGAAATATATAAAATCAGATTAAATAAAATTAAATATAAAATTTATAATCTTACTAATTAGTTTAATATTTATACTGTGAAAATATCTCTTTCTAAGAAAAATTAAATTATATTCAGTATATTTTAAAAATAACTGTTAAATTTATCAGAGATAATTAGATAGCTTACAGACTGTATAAGTGTTTTTTTTTAAAATTAATTATTACAGAGTAATTAAATTAATAATTTACAGAAGAGAATAATCTCTCTATATATTATAGAAAAACTAACTTTTTCAAGTAAAATGCTCTATAATATAATCTCATATAATATCATATACATCTTATTAAATTCATTTAATAAGATTGAACAGCCAGCTCTGTAGTTTATACAGCTCTGATATTAATCTTCATTCTTTTCTTTATAGATGTTCTCTACTGTATTTACATTCTTTATACTCTTGTCTACTTCTCTACATTCAGTACAATCTATACATTCATTACAATCTATACATTCATTAATATACTCTATTTATTATAGAAAAACCAACTTTTTCATGTAAAAAACACTGTAATGTGACATCATATATATTCTATTAAAAATCAATCTTTAAATCTTCATTCTTTTTTTTATTCTGCTTCTTTTATATATTCTCTACAGTACTTACATTTCTTATACTCTTCTCTATGTTCATTTTATCAAATGCTCTGTAACATAATCTCTTTGAATTCAGATGAGATTGAAGAGCTGGCTCTGCAGCCTGTACAGCTCTGATTAATCTGATAATGATGATAGAGATGATACAGGGTGGAAGAGAGTGATTAGAGTGATAGGGGTGGTCGGGGTGGTAAGAGGGAGGTAGAGGGGTAGAGGTAGAGGGTGGAAGTGGTAGAGGGGGCTGCGGGGCGGTAGGGGCGGTGGTGGTGGTAGAGGGGGTAGGGGGTGGAAGGGGTGGAAGAGGTGGTAAGAGGGGGTAGGGTGGAAGTGGTAGAGGGGGCTGCGGGGCGGTAGGGGCGGTAGAGGCAGTGATGGTGATAAAGGGGGTAGGGGGGACTACGGGGCGGTAGAGGTGGTGGTGGTGGTGGTAGAGAGGGTAGGGGTGATAGGGGTGGTAGGGGGGGTAGGGTGGAAGTGGTAGAGGGGGGCTGCGGGGCGGGTAGAAGGCGGTAGAGGCGGTTGCTGGTGATAAAGGGTGTAGGGGGTGTAAGGTGTGGTTAGGGGAGGGTAGAGAAGTGGAAGTGGGGGCTGCTCAAGCAGCCAAAGC